CTATTTATCTTTTGGTCTAACTATCAGCTTATCGCGTTATATATTTATTTGTCTCTCTCACCCTACCTCTCACTATCACTTAATCCATCAATCATTCTATCTACTAATATTTATCATACTGCCACCTAAACACAAAAATACTAACATCATAATATTTACGTTGGTACATACATACTTTATTAGTTTCATCTCTGTAAATCTAATCTCTCTCTCTCTCTCTCACTCTCTCTCTCTCTCTCTCTCTCTCTCTCTCTCTCTCTCTCTCCCTCCCTCCCAATCAGTCTATTGGCTGTATATCTATCTATATATCGATCCATCATTTTATTAGACATATAAATACAAAAAATATAAACATAAAATAGTTAACGTAATTTTAATTTTTCATTTGTCTCAATCTCTCTTTCTCTCCATTCCTCCATCTCTCTCTCACTCTCTCTCTCTCTTTCTTCAAATCAATCAGTCAATCATTTGACTTATCTATCCATCTTTTTATTAGACATATAAACACAAAAAAATAAACCTAATATTTAACGTAATGTAAATACTTTTTAACTTTTCATTTGTCTCAATCTTTCTTTCTCTCCCTATCTCCATCTCTCTCTCTCTCTCTCTCTCTCTCTCTTGCTCTCTCTCTCCTAATCGATCAATCAATCTATTGACTTATCTATATATCTATCCATCTTTTTATTAGACATATAAACACAAAAATAAACCTAATATTTAACCTAATGTAAATATTTTATAACTTTTCATTTGTCTCAATCTCTCTTTCTGTTCTTATCTCCAACTCTCTCTCTCTCACTTTCTCTCTCTCTCTCTCCCCCTCCAAATCAATCAGTCAATCTTTTGACTTATCTATCCATCTTTTTATTAGACATATAAACACAAAAAAATAAACCTAATATTTAACGAAATGTAAATACTTTTTAATTTTTCATTTGTTTCAATCTTTCTTTCTCTCCCTATCTCCATCTCTCTCTCTCTCCTAATCAATTAATCAGTCTATTGGCTTATCTACATATCTATCCATCTTTTAATAAATAAATTTATTTTTTTTAAATAAAAAAATAAAACTAATATTTAACCTAATGTAAATATTTTATAACTTTTCATATGTCTCAATCTCTCTTTCTCTTCTTATCTCCATCTCTCTCTCTCTCTCTCTCTCTCTCTCTCTCTCTTTCTCATTAAAAAAATCCAATTAAAAGCAGATAGATGAACATTATCCACTTTTGGCAATCGGCTGGGTATTTTTTTTACGAGGGTTCCCAACTGCAAAGGTCATATAAACCCTCAGGGTGCCGGTGGTTTTGAAAAAAAATTTTGTAAGTATGTCGGGTTCGAATGCAGGGCCGCTGGATTCGAACCCGGGATCTTTGCCTTACAGTGATGAGCACTGCGTCAACGCCTAAACCTTTGCAGCCACCGACGCCCCCAGTATTTTTACTTAAAAGAAATATTCATTTATCAATATTTATGAAAACATAATTATGTAATTCACATCTGTGCACAAAGTTTTAGTATCTTCCAATAAACACTGCGGTTATTTATGACAGAAAAGTGAAAGTCAAATAAAATAAGAGATTTTCCAGCTAGTTGCCTCTGGTTTATTTAATCGCTGTTTAGTTGATATAGTTAAACACTTTAAACATTTTAGTTTAGATATGATTTCCCATTAGTCCGATATTGCTTTCAATATTATTTATGCGCTTCGAAGCTTGTTTGTATTATTTATGTAAGACCAGAAGGTTCTCCGAGATTGTAGAGAAAGATCGTCGCCGATTATATTCATTCGGGTTAATTATTTCTCGGGGCTCATTAACCGGGTGGATTTTATGATTGGAAGCGATGTCCTGGTCAGGAGATCCACCATCGTGGATTTTGGGCAGGACCCAAAGATGTAAGTAATTGGGAGTCACCTTGGGCAATTAGCGAGTCGCCTTCATCCATCAAGGGAGACCACACTGACAGGCCGGCTAAATCGCCCGCTCCCACCGTCCAATTTGACATATTTCATTTAGAAATCTAAAACGTGCAAACCGCCGTAAATTTCATTGCTTCCGGTCACGAGGATTTAACGGCAGTGCCGGCTCGTTGTATCATCAGAAGTTTTTCCTTTTGGAAATTTTGGAATCATCGGCCATGTCCAATGACGTCCGAATAATGTGATTTGGCTCATCTTCAAGAAATTGCGCACTTTCAAATGACTAATTGTTTCTTTTTTAATTAGAGTTGTTATTTTCTTATAAAAAAATCTGATGACTCGGAGATAAAAGGGTTTAATTAATTCCTATAGGTCTTGGATAGTAAAGACAACGAAATAAATTTTCTATTTAGCGCTATCAACATCTTTTGGCACGTATCTTCTCAAGTCCTATTTCACTTTTCGTTAGACAATTGTTAGTTTTTTAAACCCATTAATTTATAGCTTTCATCTGCAACTGAAATACACTTGTAGAAAAATTGATAAATGCATTATAAAATTTTTCAGTAAAAATAAAACTCTTTTTAATCAAATTATACTTTTTTTAACCGCATTTATACATCATAATTGCTATGATTGGGTGTTAAAATATTTAAATACCAATTAACTGAAAGAAAATTCATAATGGCTAAATGGAAAAACTTGTAACAAAACCAGCGAGAATAAGCGGACAAGCGGACTAAGATCAAGTTACATAAATAGAGAATTTGTTCTTAACACAGTGAATAAGTATTGTTACTAAAGTTCATTTTGTCAAAAAATGGTAGGTATTTTATTTAAAAAAATCGAAATATAGAAAATGTAGAACTTCCTAGAATGATGGCTGTAACTAACATTTTTTATGTTATCATTTGATCTTGTGGCTATCCTCTCTCTCTAATACATCCATCAATCAATCAATCCATTTATTTATCCATCTGTCTCTATCACACTGTCATACAAACCCAAAAATACAAACATCATAATGTTTAAGTAGTAAATATATACTTTCATAGTTTCATCTCTGTAAATCTCTCTTCTCTCTCTCTCTCTCTCTCTTTCTCTCTCTCTCTCTCTCTCTCTCAATCCATCAATCAATCAATCAATTTATTTATTTATTCAGCTATCTATATTGCACTGTCACACAAACCCAAAAATATAAACATGATAATTTTTAAGTAGGTACTCTACTTTCTTCATTTCATCTCAGTAAATCTCTCTTCTCTCTCTCTTTCTCTCTCCCTCTCTCAATCCATCGATCAATTAATCAATCTCTTTACCCATCCTTTTATCTCTATCACACTGTCACACAAACCCATAAATACAAACATCATAACATTTAAGTAGGTTTCTATATGCTTTCTTAGTTTCATCTCATTATATCACTCTTCTCTCTCTCTCTCTCTCTCTCTCTCTCTCTCTCTCTCTCAATCAATCAATCAATCAATCCATTTATCTATCTCAATCACACTGTCATACAAACCCAAAAATACAAATATCATAATATTTAAGTTGGTTTATATATGCTTTCTTAGTTTCATCTCAATAAATCCCTCTTTTGTTTTTCTCTCTCCCAATCAATCTATCAATCTATTGAATTATTTATATATCTATCCATCCATTTTTATTAGACAGGTATATAAATACAGAAAAATAAGCCTAACATTTAATCATTATTTTAACTTTTCATTTGTCTAAATCTCTCTCTCTCTCTCTCTCTCTCTCTCTCTCTCTCTCTCTCTTCCCTCTCTCTTCCATCNCTCTCTCTCTCTCTCTCTCTCTCTCTCTCTCTCTCTCTCTCTCTTTCTTTCTTTCTCCCACTGTGTGCTTTTAATATGTACGTTTAATCTAACTCTCGCGAATGTGTTGGTCCTTCCATTCCGGTTGTGTTTTTATTAGAAGCCATACTACCAACATACTCATACTACTAACAACTAATACTAAAGAAAAAATATACGAACAACTTATTTATATATCTATACATCTATTTCCATTAGACAGGTATATAAACACAGAACAATAAGCCTAATATTTATTAATGATTTTAACTTTTCCTTTGTCTAAATTTCTCTCTATCTCTCTATATCTTTCTCTTTTTCCTCTCTTTCCATCAGTCTATGTATCTATCCATCTATTTATATCACACAAGCACATAAACACAGAAAAACAAACATCATATTTAACTATATTTTTCATCTTTTTCAGTCTCTCTTTTTTTCTCTTTCTATCTATCTACTTTCGATTTATCTTTTTATCTATCTGTTTATCTCTTTATATACAATCTCTCTCACTTTCCTCCAGTCTTTTCTTCTTTCGTTCGCTCATTGTGTTATGTTAAACGCCTGTATGTGATCTTTTTTTTTTACATTTGATATTCTTCCGAATACACGTCGTCAAGATTTTTTCATACCTTTCTGCCCTAATATTTTTCTCGATAATTAATTGAAATTCCTTAAAAACAATAAGTGAAATGAAATGAAGCTGCTATGCAAAGTTGATTGATGCTTAATGTCATTGATGATTGTCACACCGAACTACATAAAACTAGTACAAGAAATGAACCACGATTTACTATTTTGCATAATAATATAGTGAATCCGACCTATAATTTCGGCATGTTTGCCATATCTGATTTGATGAACTCGATTTGAATTCAAGTGAAGCATTTTCAGCTCTATAGCTTAAAAAGCATTGAGTGGCGATAAATCTGTGTCTGGCTGCAGATGTCGAAAAATCATTGATAAGGTACAAAGGACTTCTGGCAAAAATGAAATTAAAATTACCAACATTAATTACTTCTCTGTTCCTATCTAAAATCAAGACCTTTCAGCCCGCCAAGCAGAAACATTTACACTCTAACATCTCTAAGGTTTGCTATTTAAAAAAACTTCAAGTTCAAACTAATGGAGGTCTATTGCATGAATACGCTTTTCTATGTCTCTTTAGTAGACTATTAACAAATAATTAACACATCTAATAATAATTTTTTGGGGGATAATACAATTTTGTCTGTGAAAACCATATCATAATACGTTGCTGTTATTTCAAGGATATAATTGTATAGTGATGAATATTAGTATTAAATAAAAAGAAAAGTGTAATTTTGAACCACTGGATACTTCTTTTTTCGTTATATTAAAATACTCTAGGTATGGCCAAAAAAGTATAAAACCCATTACTCTTTTGTTTCCAGCTCTAATTTCAGCTGTCACCATGCCGTAAACCTGACCTTCACAATACAACGCACTACCTGCATCTGCAGGTACAATTAAATCTCCTGAGGCTACAGCTGAAGCACAGGCTTCCCCTTTTGAAGTCATATCTTCTTCTCGTTTTGACAAAGAAGAACATTCCGCGTCCGTCCATGGTTTTACTTCAACAGCTTTCAGTACATTAATCTTTGTTCCATCGGCATTTTTCCCCCACCCTACTACAAAACAGCTTTTCCCTGAAGCTACATAATCATACCACATTTGCTCATAATTGTTGTTGGCATAAGATGGAAATGTTATTGTCTTCAGAGAATCAGTGATAGTAAACGCTGTGTCCAAATATGCAATAGCTATATTATGAAAATAATACGCTGGATGGCTTTTTTGCTTGAATTTCTCGTGCGTTTTATAGGACTTGAGATTCCTCTCTTGCCTTCCTATTGATCCTTTTTCAATGGACACTGAGCCGGCAATTATAGTGACTGACTCAACTTTGAAGTCTTCAACTGCAGTGAAGCAGTCACCAGCAGTGAAAAATTTATCAGGCTCGAATAGTGTACCTCCGCAAAAGATTTTGCCAGACATGTATACTGCAAAAGGAAATTCTCCCGGCATCACTTCTCTTCCTCCTGCAAGTTTCTCTTCAGCACCGTTGGCAAACATGTAAATCTTAAATAGTACAAATACAAAGACCCACATTTCCATCAATAACCCACCTGTATTGTCTTTTCTATTGGTTTTCATTTTCAAACACAAAAATTTTAACACGAAAATTTGAGAAAATAAAATTTTGATCTACCTTTGACTGAATTTTGACTAGTAAAATAAAAACGTTTAAAATTTAGTATCACATGGTAATTACATATGTAAAAATATAATAAAAATAAAGACAAAACTCATAACGCAGGGAGTTTCAACAATTTCATTGTTATCGGCTTATGTTTCTTTAAGAGATGTCTTTTATAATTTATGAAGCTTTATTCACACAATTTAATAAAAAGATCCTGTTCTACGTTCAAGAAAGATTTTAAAAAGATTTAGGGTTTTTTATGCCACATTTTTTTAAACTATTTTGGAGAAAGGTACTAAATCTTAATCTAAAAACCAACATAATTCATAAAAAAAGAAATTCAAAGCAAATAGATGAACATTAACCATTTTCCGCAATTGATTAAATGTTGTTATTCAAAAAAATCTTCATTTACCAATATTGAATAGATGATTATGTGTTTCACATCACAAGGCAAAGTTTTAGAATCTTCCAATAAGCACTGTAGTTATCTATGACAGAAGAGTCATAGTCACATATAACATAAAAGATTTCCAATTTTTTATTTAATCGCTGATTAGTTGATATAGTTAAAAACCATGATTTTAGTATAGATTTAAATGGAAAAAGAAATAAATTTTAAGTATTAGTTTTATCTAAATAAATAGGTCTAAATAGGTTCTAAGGTCTATATTTAAATATATTGCACAATTGGGTGTACGATTGGGATGAGAAAATATTATTTTATTCTTCGTGTTCACTTTATCCCTTTCGCTTTATTAACTTTCCCTTGAAACACTTTCCACTGAATACAAAATTACGTTTATAATTTTCCAATGTTCTATCATTAGCTAGTTTTATTTTTCCATCGAATTCATGGTAAAATTTAACTGGGATGTCAATGCCTCAAATATTTAATTGTTTCAACTTTTTCTAAAGTTACATTTGGTCATAAAGTATGTTTATTGTTTTTAAATATCACGATTTTTCATTTAGCTGTATTAACTTTAAGTTTCTAGTAGTCACAACACAATCTTCTAATTTTTTGTAACACCAAAGAAAAGTCTGCCTTTAACACCACATCATCAGCATATATTAACAGTTTAATTTTCCTGTCTCCGATTCTACCTTCATCTCTTAAACACTCATCTAGAAGTAAAGCAAACAGCGAGGGACTTAGAATGCATTCTCGTTTGACTCCAGACGATGTTGAAAGCCATTCCGAAATTATTTTACCATTCTGAAGTGAACCATCCCTCACCATCCTCTCTCAATATAAATCTATATATCTTGAATACTGTACTATTGGGTTGTCCGGAAAATAATGCAGGATTTTAAGTTTTCATTCAAAAAAATCTATATAAAATATTCTGTTTACGTTTACAGGATTACTCATTTGTATGAATGTCAACACTTATTAATCCTCTTCCAAATGATATTGTTTGTTTACCTCTGTAGCATNTTTTGATTAAAGAACATTGCTTTAAAGTAACTAGTTTCTTTTTTTTTGTTTAATACCAAAATCCTGCATTATTTTCCGGACAACCCAATATATTGAAGTTGAAGGTTGAGTTGAAAATTGAATGTCACGGGCGGGACCCGAACCTACGACATCGGTGACCAATAAAAAATAAGAAACCAATCAAAACTTCGGTTAACCAAACAAAACGTATATATGTATGTATTTGTATGATTTTAATAAGAGGAATAGGGGCGTCGGTGGCCGCGTTGACACGGCGCTCATCACTGTAAGGTAAAGGTCCCAGGTTCGAATCCAGCGAGAGGAAAAGAATTGTAAAGGTAGAAAACAAACTAAAAAGCAAAAGAGATAAAGTGTGTGTGTATGTGAGAGAGAGAGAGAGAGAGAGAGAGAGAGAGAGAGAGAGAGAGAGAGAGATTTAAAAAAAGAAAGAAAGGGATCAAAAAACGATAGAGAGAGAGAAAGAAAAAGAGAGAGAGAGATAGTGTGTTGAGAGTGAAAGAGAGAGTGACTAAGAAATAGAGAGTAAGAAAAAGAAAAGAGAGAACGTTATTTTTAAGGGCAAATTTGCCATAATTCGGATGTAAAAAAAGGAAGAAAACAATAACGATTTAAAAAAAGTTAAACAGATAGATGGATAAAGATAGGTAGATAGGTGTGTAGAGAAAGAGAAGGAGATAAAAGAAAAAGAAAGAAAGGGGTCAAAAATCGATAGAGAGAGAGTGCTATATCCGTTATTTTTAAGGGCTAATTTGCCATAACTCGGCAGCAAAAAAAGTAAGAAAACAATAACGATTTAAAAAGTGTTAAACAGAAGATGGATAAAGATAGGTAGATAGGTAGATAGGTGTGCAGAGAGAGTGAGAGAGAGATCAAAAAGAAAGAGAAAGAAAGGGGTCAAAAAACGATAGAGAGAGAGAAAGAAAGAAAGAGAGAGAGAGAGAGAGATAGTGTGTTGAGAGTGAAAGAGAGATACTATGAAAACTCACGTATAGCTTTTTTGTATTAATAATAGAAGAAGCAATGGACACTTTCCCAACTTCAGCAATAGAGTAGCACTGAGATTGTCTACGTTACATAGAAACAGAGTATACGAAAGGACAAAGAGGCTCTTAAGCTTAAATTAATAGGGAATAAAACGCATTGCCTCTAATAAACCTATGAGTAAGCCATCATAAAATCTTAGAAATTATGAAAATAAATGAATCGGTTACAAAAGTAAGAAAGTGTATACGTACAAGGATAATAAAGGCACATAGATCGATCCAAAATGTACTGGTAGTGGTAGAGGTTAATCGCCCACATTTTGGTTCCAGCAACATTTAGGGGTCCACACCATCAATTTTCCAAGATTAGATCCATGTAATAGAACTCGACACTCAAAAAATAGTCAAAAGGTGCTAAAAAGTGGACAGATATTCATATTCTCGACAGCACTGAAGGCTTTAGACTCCTCCACCTTCAACTCAAAGTTGGTAGCTAACAATTGCAAAATACCAAAATTAAGAGCAGCCCTCACACTTTTTGGGCCAAAACTACGACCTGGCACACCAAAATACATGCCAAAAGCGGACAAATAGATGATGAAAGAAATATTACACTGGATGAATTCAACATGCGCAAAACAATTACGTTTCTCAAAAACTCAACAAAGAAACAAAAACAACCACTCTCCCAGCAAGCCGGAAAATAATAAATATGCCTTATTTACCACCTAAAAATGGAGCAACTGAGACCAGAACACATAGTGAACACTGCCATGAAAAGATCAAAAACTTGGAACATGTCCTACGTGAGTGCAGAATATTAGCCCGGAAATGAGACAGCACTGAAATATACATATAAAGAAGGGACAATTCTACAATATATCTTTTAGGTTGCAGTGAATGAAAGAGAGGTTAACTACCAAAAAATCTTGAAATGACTTGTTTAAAAAAAAATATTTTCATGATTAACCAACTATTTTTTTCTACTTGTAATAAACATTGTTTAAGTACGATAAAATCTTGTCAGAATAATGTATGCTGTATTTCAACGTTATTAAGCGTAAAATATCAACTGATGATGCCGTGAAGTTGGAGGCACGTCAGTCTAAAGGCAGACGTGTCGACCGAGGTAAGAACGTGTAAGCTTTTGATATGTTGTTTAGTAATCACTGTTGAACACGATATCAATCAGACAGAAGATTGAGCCGCTATTTGCTGTTTCTCCTGTTACTGGCTACAGTTGGCCCGCCTCCAAACGGATAGACGGAAAAACGTTCTTCTGAACCCGCCATCAACAGTTCCTAAGCCCCTTTACTGCCTCTAGTTTGAACAGCTGTTGTTGTTTTTTTTTGTCGTCCAAAACAAAAAAAGACACAATCGTACAACACTCGTGATATTAATTTATATATAACTTTTCAAAGTATATTTTATAGCCATATACTGTTACAAAAAATATTTTAGTAGTAATCGCAGAATAATAATATCTAGAGGAATGGATTGATATTAGCTAGAAGTCAATCGGATAACAATATCAACTTTATTATCTATGCATAATATATTAAAACACCAGACCGCATCTCACGATTTCTGAATAATTAAAACGTAATATCAAACTAATACTTTTTAATTGATCAATTTAGACACAATACAAAAGTACAATCAATCTTACAATATCTTTTCTCTCTCACACATACACTCTCTCTCTCTCTCTTTCTCTCTCTCTTTATGTATCTCTATCTCTCTTTCACTTACCTTCGAGCTCTCTTTCTCTAACTCATTAGATAACCATCTATTAATCTTTTGCTCTCTCTCTCTCTCTCTCTCTCTCTCTCTCTCTCTCTCTCTCTCTCTTTCTTTCTTTTCACTCCCAGTTTCTCTCTTTATCTCTCTCTTGAACTAAATTTCTCGCAATACAAATATCTATCTATATATCTAGCTTTCTTTTTCTCTGACTCATTTTATCACTTTATATTTCTGTATCTTTCTTTAACTAGTTTTCAGTTATTTTTTCTCGCTCTCCGTTTCTCCCTTTATTACTCTACTCTACTAACTTTCCTGCAATTTAAATATCTATATATCTATCTTTCTTTTTCTCACACTCATTTTTTCACTCTATCTTTCTTTTGTTCACACTCATTTTTCACTCTATCTTCCTAGTTTTCAGTAATAAATTTTTATTCTCTTCTTTCTCTCTGTTTCTCTCTTTCTTAAAAACGCTCCCGCAATGTAAATATCTATCTAAATATCTATTTTTCTTTTTCTCTGACTCATTTCCTCACTTTATATTTTTATATCTTCGTTTAACTAGTTTTCAGTTAGATTTTCTCGCTCTCTTCTCTCTCTCATTTCTCTCTTTATCTCTCTCTTGTACTAAATCTCTCGCAATACAAACATCTATCTATATATACAGCATTCCTTTTCTCTGATTCATTTTCTCACTTTATATTTGTATATCTTCTTTTAATTAGTTTTCAGTTAGATTTTCTCGTTCTCTTCTCTCTTGTACTAAACCCCTCGTAATGCAAATATCTATCTATATGTCTATCTTTCTTTTTCTATGACTCATTTTATCACTTTATATTTCTGTATCTTTCTTTAACTAGTTTTC